GAACAAAAGCAGCAGCCGAGAAGTTACGTTGTGGTCTGGTTGAGGTGTTGTCTATTATTCTCTTTGGTCAGGCCTGCTTTGCTGTGTCTCAGGGGAACAAGATCTTCCGGCGCTAAACCAACAACAGTCACAGACATAAACTACGAGGAAACAGTCACTGTATGCCACATCGAGCTGTAGCTTAACTAACTCAGCTGGGGTAGATACTTTTGAATTAAGACAGTCAGGTCATAAAATGCGTGTCAGTGCTCGAGGATTCTGGATGCGGGGACAGCAAGCCTTCTTCGACATCAGGATTTTTTATCCCATGGCTGCATGTCACCATAACTTAGCTCTCGATGCTGCACACAGGAGAAACGAGAACAACAAGACAAAGGCATACTGGGAGAGAATTCAGAATGTTGATCAAGGCAGCTTCACTCCTCTGGTGTTCACAACCTCTGGTGGGATGGGACCAAGTGCAAGATGCTTCTACGCCAGACTCGCGGAGGTGCTATCCGAACAGAAGCAGCAGCCCAGAAGTTATATTACAGCCTGGATGAGATGTCGACTGTCCTTCTCTCTCCTTAGGTCTGCTTTGCTCTTCCTCAGGGGAACGAGAGCATCTACCCCAAAGCCGACAACAGTTGCATTATTGACTATGAGGCAACAGTCACTGAATGCAACATAGATCTGCGGCTCAACTAATTCAACACAGCTAGGGTAGCTTCTTATGTATTAGGATATTTAATTTTCAGGTAATAAAATGGCGGCGAAGGTGTGGCTATTGGGGGAGGCTGGAGGCCAATTTAAAAAAAATAGTACTAGTAGTAGTAGTAGTAGGCGTGGGTGTGTTGGGGTGCCTTCCCTGATCTAAAGTGTTATTGGTGGGGATATACTCAGTTTGTGGGAGCGAGAATTTCACAGTGTGTCGATGAATGTTGGATGTCACCTTGAGCATCGTCGCCGACGGCTCTTCTCATCCCTTACGGCATTAAACGCAAATATTGCGTGTGTTCACCGGCGATCTTCAAGTAAGCCTGTGAGTGTTTGAATGGTCAGTGACTGGAGTTGCCAAGTGTTAGTGCCAGTGTGTCGATAGGCCTACTTTAGCAGGGGTGGCATCACGACTCTCGCCCCTATGGGGCCAAGTGCCTCGCGCTTGCGGTCGCCCCCCCCCTCCCCTCCGCCTCCCCACCTCGAGTAACGGCCACTTCATGTAGTGTCGGCTGACCAAGTGAGTATATATAACTAATATTACATCAGTGAGACCATAGAAATAGTGGTTATCTCTGCCAAGGTTACATAAACAAGTGTTAGGTGTGATAATTCTTGCTCCCAGTGGATTATTCGGATGTGTGGATTGTCGCCCACATGGGGGGTGCCCGACACAACCGCGCGCGCGCGTATGCCCCTGTTACTCGGACACCGCAGGCCAGGCCGTCACCTCTGTGCCCCATACTCATAAGATCTAGTTTCTTCGTCCGTATGGGCCCAATAGCAGAGGTCGGAGGCGGAAGTATCTGTCACCCAAGGTGCTGTTCGCTATGCCTGGTAACATTCATTGCTGTGTCTGTGCTAACCCGAACCAAAACTGCACAAATTGTGTTTGTGCGAGAAACAACCGACCATGTGTGGATTGCAAGAAGTGAGACCAGTGTCGGAACCCACGTCGCAGGGAGCCGACACAGGTGGCCACAGTGGATATCGCCGGGACCCAACCACCCGATGATATCCGAAATGATAGCAGTGAGTCTACTCAACCCGAAAATGTAGTACTAATAAATGCTGCTCCCTTAGTAGCAGATGTCCACGAGGAGAATGAGAGACAGCCACCTCAGTGGAATGGCATGTCGATGGAAAATGCAGACATATGGGTCAAAGAAACCTATTCAGAAATTGTCAAGTGGTCGCCTGCTAACTTATTTGAATCACCCAAGTGTGTGGCCACCAAAGAAATGATTCGGGAGATGACTCGCTTCATGACTGATTACACTCAGGACTGCTTCCTCGCCCCTTTAGCTCTTCAAATACTGGCAATAATACCACGTCTATTGTGTCAGAGGACACACACAAAGACTAAGCACAAAGAAAATGTGGCAGCAATGAAGAGAAGATTGGCAATGTGGCAGACTGGGGGCCCTTGATGATCTCCTATGTGAAGCAAGAACACTGCAGGAGAGACTAAAAATTACTGGTGACGGAAAGCAAAACACCGATGACGTGGCAAGAAAATTTGGAAACAAAATGCGTGTGGGAAAAGTGTCTCTGGCGGTAAGATCTCTCACAGAGGAATCCTCCGGTGGGGTGATGCCAATAAACAGAGAGACAATAAAACTACTGAAAGAGAAACATCCCCCTGCAAGCGACAAAGAAGGCATGAGGTTCGAGGGTGTCTATACCCCACCAAACGCTGTCCTGTTCGAGAAAATAACAGGAGAGATGGTGTGGAAAAAGGCACTGAAGACTCGAGGAGGTGCCGGCCCTTCAGGTTTGGATGCAAACGGTTGGAGAGTCATCCTCAGCACAAACAAGTTTGGCCCTGTAGCAAGCGATCTCTGCACTGCCATTGCCGCCCTTGCAAGAAAGCTTGCATCCACCTGCTGCCATCACCTCCAGGCCCTGACGGCCTGCCGCCTTATTCCTCTGGAAAAGAAACCAGGATGTAGGCCTATAGGGGTGGGGGAAGTGCTGAGGCGGATCATCGGAAAATGCATAATGGAGGTGGTAAAGGATGATGTCAGGGCAGCAGCAGGGAACCTACAAGTGTGTGCTGTGTGCTGGCCACCAGGCTGGCGGGGAGGCCGCCATTCACGCCATGAGATTGATATTTGAGCAGCGTGATTGTGAGGCCGTTCTCCTGGTGGATGCTTCAAACGCATTCAACATACTTAACCGCAAGGCTGCACTGCACAACATCAAGATCAAGTGTCCAAGCTTTGCAATGTATGTTGAAAATTCGTATAGGAATCCATCAGACCTCTATATAGTAAACAACAAGGCTCTAAGAGGTGATACCATCTTACATTCATCCGAGGGAACAACACAGGGGGACCCTGTTGCAATGGCAATGTATGCAATTGGCCTATCAGTGCTCCAACAAGAAATGAAATTTGAAACAACTGGGGTCAAACAAGTGGCATACGCTGATGACCTTACAGGAGCAGGAAAAGTGGAGGGCATCAAAAAGTGGTGGGACTTGGTAACATCGCGGGGTCCACAAATAGGGTACCACCCAAACGCCAGCAAGTCCTTCCTCATCGTGAAGCCAGAACATTATGAACGGGTAATGGAGGTTTTTGGCGGAAGTGAGGTCAAAATAACTAAGGACGGCCAAAGACATCTAAGCGCAGTAATTGGCACTGCGGACTTCAAGACCGAGTACGTAGCGGGAAAGGTGAATGAGTGGGTTAGTGAAATCCAAGCTCTGTCTGAGTTTGCTAACACAGAGCCACATGCGGCCTTTGCTGCATTCACCCATGGAGTCAAGCATCGCTGGAACTACCTGATGCGTACTATCCCTGATATCGGGACCCCCAGCAGAAAGAGCACTTCTTGCACTTCCATCAAGACTGGGAGGGATGGGATTAACAAATCCAGAGGAGATTGCTGCCACTGAACATCAAAATTCAGTTAAGCTCACGGCAGCCCTCACGGACCACATAATAGCCCAGAATGCAACAGGGGAAGTGGATACCAGTGAGGTAAATAAGATTCGTAGGTCCATTACGACAGATCGACAGCACTGCCAAAATGATAATTGCAGCAACTGTTGCTGCAGGTACCAGAAAATTTGAAAAAAAAGTAGCTATAGCGCAGGAGGTGGGCGCCTCGAACTGGTTAACTACGTTACCGATAAGGGCAAATGGTTTCAGTGTTAATAAACAAGAATTTACAGATGCCATTGCTCTAAGGTACGGTCGGCCAGGAGGTCTGCCCTCCCAATGCATATGTGGCTCTTCCTATGATGGCGATCACGCCATGGTGTGCAAGAAAGGGGACTTCATATGCATGAGGCATGACGAGGTAAGGGACCTCACAGCAAATATGTTGAAGGAAATCTGCCGGGATGTCATGGTAGAACCGACCCTCCTTCCATTGGATGGTGAGATCTTCCAACACAGGACTTCAAACACATCTAACGAAGCCTGTGTGGACGTCAGTGCTCGAGGATTCTGGACGCGGGGACAACAAGGTTTCTTCAACATCAGGATTTTTTATCCCATGGCCGCATGTCACCGTAACCTAGCTCTCGATGCTGCACATAGGAGGAACGAGAACGACAGGAGAAGGGCATACGGGGAGAGAATTCAAAACGTAGATCAAGGCAGCTTCACTCCTCTAGTGTTCACAACCTCTGGTCGGATGGGACCAAGTGCAAGATGTTTCTACGCCAGACTCGCGGAGGTGATCTCCGAACAGAAGCAGCAGCCCAGAAGTTATGTAACAGCCTGGATGAGATGTCGACTGTCTTTCTCTCTTCTTTGGTCGGCTTTGCTCTGCCTCAGGGGAACGAGAGCTTCTGCCTCAACTCCGACAACTGCTGCAGATATTGACTATGAGGTTACTGTCACTGAATGCCGCATAGATCTGCGGCTCAACTAATTTAACACAGATAGGATAGCTACTTATGTATTAGGATATTTAATATTAAGGTAATTAAATGGTGGCGAAAGTGTGGCTATTGGGGGAGGCTGGAGGCCAAATTTAAAAAAAAAAAAAGTAGTAGTAGTAGTAATAGTAGTAGTAGACACAGGAGCAGTGATAAGGGGGACGGTTGATTATAATTTACCCAGATTTGCACTTACACACAATATGTATAATGTCATCAAAAGCTAAAATTAATTGTGCTCAAATTTATACCAATGCAAATGCATAGCCTATTAATAGATAATACTAACATAGTTTTATTATGTTACGAATATTAACATTTTAAATCTTACTTATGATTATTCATGTACATCCAAACACATACGATGGAAAATACATAATTCCATTTACTTACCATTACACAAATACAGCAGATCCCAGAGGTCAGACCTGCGGTACTCCCCGGTAAGCGACCTGGATTACGGCACCTTACTCTGCTGGGCTACAAACGCCGTGGGCACCCAGCGAACACCCTGCACCTTCACCGTGTTCCCAGCAGGCAAACCTGACGTGGTGGGCTCCTGTATGGTGTTCAACGAGACGGAGGAGACGGTGAGCGTTTCTTGTGAGCCAGGCTATAGTGGAGGCGTCGACCAGAGTTTCCTTATCGAGGCTTGGGATGATGGTGTGGTGAGAGCGACAGACACGAGCGATACGCCTTTATTACAGGTGAGTACTCCTTATCTAAGCCTTTTATTACTGGTTAAAATGGCGTCACAATACCACTGAGACTCTACTTAACCATATTTGTTTTCCTTCTCTCTTTCTCTCCTCTCCCCTCATTGCGAAAAAAATATCAATATACAATTAATGAGAATGAGAATACATGTGAGAGGTTGTGAGGGGGTGTGAAGGTGAGGGTGAGTGGGAATGAGGAGGAAGTGAGAGTGAGGGTGAGGGGATGTGGGGGTGAGGCAGTATGAGGGTAAGAGAGTGTGAGGGTGAGGGCTTGTGAGGATGAGGTGATGTTAGGGTGAGGGAAGTGAAGATAAGGGGGTGATGGTGAGGGTATGTGAGAGTGATGGGGTGTGAGGGTTGGAGAGAGAGAGAGAGAGAGAGAGAGAGAGAGAGTAATATTAATCAACCTCGTGGCTGCCCTTTTCCCCTGACTATATTAAGATACTCTACAGAAAAGAAAGAAAGAAAGAAACAGGTAAAACTAATCCTACTCAACCTCTCATTCCTCCACTGGCTCACACATCTCCCTCAGTACATTAAAATAATCTCTACATAAAACCGCGGTAAATTAATACGGGAGGAGGCGGTGCTGGGATCAAATAACTTACCTCAGTCGTGCAACATATTATCCCAACACTTCTAAATTACATTGTTGACCCAGTTGTTCTGCCTGTGTCATGAGCATCACCATTAACTACACTGTGCACACACTTGTATACCTTCACTACACGTTTGTTCCACATTGTTGCACGATTCGTTTGCATTTGCAGATGTGTCCATGACAACCGTTGTTTAATCTGAGAAGATCTTTGGTATAATTGTAATTGCATGATCATTCTACCGTGCCATTATTATTAACAGCTGCAACACTCAACACTGCACACATACATAGACATGATTACATTGCAAACACACACAGTCATATATATATATATATATATATATATCACATTGTTATATTGCACACATTTCCACGGGTCAACACACACACATATCTACTTAGTAAAATACATCCGTGTTGCGTTGCGAAATTGTTTAATGTGTGTCAACATGAACACATACAAGAACATTTAAGTGATTACTGCGGAATCATCTCCTATGTCAACACCGCCACCCAGGCCAGGTAACCCCCTTATGGCTACACTGAGATATTACAAGTGAACTGTAGGAGAAACGGTGCATTGTTTTCATCCATCGGTTTTGAGGGTTTGTGCGATTTTCAGCCTCATGAATACCTGTATTGAACCCCTTGAATACCCGTACCTGTCATACTGAACCCCATAAACACTTACGCACCTCATATTTAAACCTCTAAGATGTAATGTATCTCCTAATTAACCACGTAAACACCTGTACGATAACAATGAACCCTTAAATACCTATTTGTGTCTGCCTCACCCACAGGTCACAGGTCTGCGCCCCGGGACCCGCTATACGCTGAAGGTGTTCGCCGTCAACGCCATGGGCCGATCCCAACCATATATCTTTACCGCCTTCACTTTAACAGACGTCGCCGAGAGACGCACAGGTGAGCCTACCAGCATCCAGGAGATCATCCTTTAGGTATCTGCAGGCGAAGTGCCTGTGGATGTAGGTGATGGGGTCGGGAGTCCCATGATTGTCGCCTTAGGTACCTCGAGGCTGTGAATGAAGCTGACGTAGTTTGTTTACGTGAGAGCGTGTGAATGCACCTCAAGAAGTTTGTTTGTATAGGTGCTGGGAGCCTGTGAATGAACCGAAAAGTGTGCTTACGTGAGTGTCGGGAAAGTGTGGAGGAAACTGATAGAGATTGCTTACGTTGGTGCCGGGAGTGAGTGAATGGGCCTCAAGCAGCCTGTGAATGAATTTAAAGTTTTTTTTTACGTGGCTGTCGGGAGTGTTGTAAATGGACATCAATGACTGTTTATAGAGACCTTGGGAGCCTGTTTTCTCACGTGGGTATCGGGAGCCACTTTAGGTGGTGATACATATAAGGGAATGATGGGTACTTATGGCAGGTACTGATGTAATATATGAGGTTTGTGTACAGATGGAGGTACTTGTACTATGCAGATGACAGAACTCGTACTTAAAAAACTACTACTACTAATTCTACTGATATAGCTCTTATTACTATTATTATTAACATTTTGATCCCTATAACGAGTAGTTCCAACCATATTAACCTACGTTACTCTTGACAATGCTTCATATACTTACACTGTGTGGATTTAACATTGTGTATGCTAATATTAACATCATTTAATCAATTTATTTTATTTGTTTTTGTATTATATGATCACTAACATGATATTTTTCCTCTCTCTTGCTGCTGCTGTTGGTGATGGTGGTGATGATGGTGATGATGATGGTATTGCTCATGGTGATGGTGATGGTGATGATAATGGTGGTGGTGATGGTGGTGATGATGTTGGTATTGGTGATGGTATTGTTGGTGCTGTTTTAACTACAAATACTACTACTATGACAATAAAACAACGACAACAACTACAACAACTACTACTGCAATTAAAACAAAAACAATCACTATTACTCTTACTATAACGACAACAAATCAATAACAACAACAAAAACAATAACAAAAACAACAAAAACAAAAATTACTACTATTACGAAAACAACCACTATTTCTACTACTACTACTACTACTTCTCCTACAAAAACAACTACTACTACTACGGCAACGAAAATAACAACAATTACTACCACTACTACCACAACTACTAAAACAACAACAACTACCACAACTACTGATGGCACACAGCCCTGGGTACTGGTAAGCCCGGGGAGCCCTTAAGCCCTATCGTCGGGTCAGTGATCGGGGGGGTATCTGCTGTGGTCCTGCTGCTGATCATCGCTCTTGTGGTGGCCAAGTGCAAGAGACGTAACTCCCACGAGGCCCACAGGTGAGTACCCACCAGCCCCTCACACCTGTAATGGGGTTAGGTTAATTAGGTTAGGTTAGGTTAGGTTAGATTAGGCTAGGTTAGGTTCATGCTTGACCTAACTTTACAGTGAAGGGTCGCGTGCAGTTCCGGCCAGGCACCGAAGGATTAGTAAGTCATTATTTAGCGCACTGTATCCACACTGCTTATGGGACCCACATTAACCTAACCTAACCTATCCAAGCCTAACATTAAGTTTTGCAAAAATCACTCAACAAACAAGTTAAGTATAGTGGTGTAGCAAGCAGGTGTAACAGTACCACAGAAGTACTGAAGACGAGTGTACTGGAGAGGTGAGAATGTGGAGGAACGAGGGTGTAGTGTAGGAGGAGCGAGGGTGTAGTGGAGGTGTGATAGACTAAGTTTATCCATGCGGCAGCCTGCGGGAGAGCGGCAGCACTGGGGACGTTGGCTACAAGTCCTGCGGCAAGTCCGACACCCGACAAGATTCAGGCCTGACCGACACCACGGAGACTCACGGCCACTCCGGCCCCGACCTGGTCTCTGCCTCGCAAGGTGAG